GGAATGGAAAAGGGAGTTGGAAGTATCTTCCATTTAAAATCTGATCAGCCATGGTATTAACCAAGGATCATTTTAGATAACTGAAATATTTTAGTTGCACTTGTCTCAAATAAATAAATTCAAAAATACTCAAGGGGGGGAAATGAGGATGAAGAGGAATGGAGCCTAGAAAAGAGGTAAACAGTTTACCCATTTTATCTCACCTTTATTAATTTTTATAAATAACTAAAGGTGGCAATAAGCACAATACTTCCTTTTATTTTCCCCACCACATCAGCCCTGTGAGATGGGTTGGGCTGAGAGACAGAAGGCCCAAAGTCAGCCATCCAATTTTCATGCCCGAAACAGAACTAGAACTCACAATCTCCTAGTTTCAAGCCTACACCTTAACCACTACATCAAATTGACCAAATTATGTCCAATCTTTTAGAAATAACACAACATACATAACTTTTTAAGATGCACAATAATATAATTACTGATACTGCGGTGAATTATTATTCAGGTGTCATTAGTTGGAACTATAACTGGATGTTGTGTTAGATTTTATAGGACACTATTGCAATTTATAATTGAATTGATTCTGGCTACTGTTCTTGTACACAATTTAGAATCAACTGACTGAATCAGATTACCAATTCAATCAGTCCAAAGCCAAAAGTATTTTATTATTATATTATACAGATAGTTCTCACCAATCATCATTGGGACTCCATCACTAAGTGACATCATAAAGTGAAGCATTATGTGATCATACCTGATTTAACTATAGTTCCAATGGTGGGTCATTAGCAAATCACTGCATGTTGTTAAGTATGATGTCACATGACCACGACTTGCCACTTCCTGCCAGCTTCCCCAATGACTGCCTGTTGCAAGCTGGTTGTGAAGGTAGCAAATAGAGATCATGTGACCATGGGATACTGATATCGTGTACGTTATATCCATATTACATTCAATTTATCAACAATCAACAGGCTTATGGATACTTGGAAAACAGAAATAGCCAAGGGAAAATCCACTACAAATTGCCAGGATTCGGTTATAAATACACATACTTTGCCAGTGTTTTAACTGGCTTTTTTTCTGACAAATCAAGATGCAATCAAGATCAAGTGAGATACTAATACCATGCTATAAAGCCTTATTAAGACCATATCTAGAATACTGCATCCAGTTTTGATCACCACACTATAAAAAAGATGTTGAGACTCTAGAAAGAGTGCAGAGAAGAGCTACCAAGATGATTAGGGGACTGGAAGCTAAAACATATAAAGTATGGTTACAGGAACTGGGCATGGCTACTCTAGTGAAGAGAAGGACCAGGAGAGACATGACAGCAGTCTTCCAATATTTGAGGAGCTGTCACAGAGAGGAAGGGATCAAACTATTTTCCAAAGCACCTGAAGGTCAGATAAGGAATAATGGATGGAAACTGAACAAGGATAGGCTCAACCTAGAAATAAGGAGAAATTTTCTGTCAGGGAGAACAATCAACCAATGGAACTGCTTCCCTTCAGAAGTTGTGGGAGTTTCATCACTGGAAGCTTTCAAGAAGAGACTGGAGTGCCATCTGTCAGAAATGGTGTAAGGTCTCCTGCTAGGGCGGGAGATGACCTACAAGGTCCCTTCCAACTCTGTTAATTTGTTTACAAAGGCTAAGAAGAGAATTTTCAGGCCTTCAGTAAAATGACCTTTAGGTGTTTAGTCTACACTTATGCATTTTTTTCATTTCATCTTTCTTTCATTTATATTTTATGTATTAATTTTGCCATTTTTAATCTTGCTAACTCAGGTCATCTTGTTTTTTCTATCTGAAATGAACTGACGGTGATATTGTTAGATCTTTTCTTTCTCTTTATCGGGGGAGAAATTAAAAAGGAAAACAAAAGAATAATATTGAGAAAGGATGAGATTTTCATTCATCTTTATATCATCATCTTCATCATCCAGATGGACAAATCCTCTCTTCATTCCTCCACTTTTTTGTGCCTAAAGGCAACTTACTTGGCTGCCATGTTGTTCTCGGGCAGCAGAGACATTTCAAGGACTTTGGTTCCACTGATGATAGATTCGTAACTCGTGGTGGCCACCATTTTTCCAGTGATGCGATGTACCTGGTAGAAAGCATGAGGACGTAGGTTTCGCTCATCTGCTGTTCCAATGAACATTTGTAACGTCAGGGGTTTTTCATCGTAACCTAAAAGCTTGATTGGAAAAGAGAAGACAGTCATCAACTCATGTGTTTACCTGCAACCACAAATTATTTGTAACTAGCTGATAACCCAGCGTTGCCCGGGAATTTATTTATCCTAATCCTGTATTTTGGCAACAATTAAATTAAAGCTCCAAACATAATTTCTAAGGTTGGATTTTCCCCCTTATCAGAGGAAGCCCCCTTGTGGAGTACAGTGAAGCCATTACCATGGCAACGCCATTGCATAGTATGGTAGAAGCCATTTTAAGGCACAACTGGCTGTATCTTAACAGAACACACACCCTGAGGGGTGTGTGGGGTGTCTTACACCCACTGTATTTCTTTGCAGAGAGTAAGTCATCTGTGTACCAAGTTTGGTTGAAATTGCTCAAGACATTCTGGAGTTATGCTGGAACACACACACACACACACACAAACACACACACATACACACACACACAGCCATTATATATATAAATATATCTATGTCTGTATGACACATACTTATGTGTCAAATATTTGGAGAGGACAATGTATCAAGACCAGGCAATGATTCTCAGAAATAGATTTCTAAATATGTTCTATTATAAATATTCCAACTATTGTAAAATATAATACATAAATTTAATCTGATTTTGTTCCCGGCTGATTGGCTGTGGATGACTATCTTGGATTTTAGGTTTTCATGGGGGGGGGGGGGGAATTCCCTTTTGTTCTTGATACAGGTAGTCCTTGATTTACAAATGCAATTGAGTCTAAACTTTCTGTTGCTAAGCAAGACAGCTGCTAAGTGAGTTTTGCCCCACTTTGCAACTTTTCTTGTCACAATTATTAAGTGAACCACTGCAGTTTTTGAGTTAGTAACATGGTTGTTAAGTGAACCTGGCTTCCTCATTGATTTTGCATGTCAGAAGGTCGCAAAAGTTGATCACATGACCCCGGGGACATTGCAATGGTCATAAATATGGGGCTGTTACCAAGTGCCTGAATTTTGATCCCATGACCAAACTACTGTACTGCTGTAAAATGGCTTCTACTGTAAAGCACAGTGGAATTGCCATGGTAATGGCTTCACAGTACTCCACAAGGGGGCTCCCTATAGTAAGGGGGGAAATCCAACATTAGAAATTATGTTTGTTCCAGACATTTCCCCCCTATAAATAAATACCTGGGCAACATCAGGTTATCATCTAGTAATAAATGAAAGAAAGGACATCTCAAAGCTCAACGGTCCTTTCAGGAGTTTGGAAACTAAGAAGGAGAGAAGCAACCTGAAATTAAAGAGGAAATTCCTAACAGTGAGGACAATTAATGAGGGAAACAGCTTGCTTTCAGAAGTTGTGAGTGTCCCATCTTTGGAGTCTTTTGAGAAAAGACTGAATAAACCACCTGTCTGAAAAGGTACGGGGACTCCTTGAGCTGAAGGTTGAACAAGAAGATCTCCAATCTTCTAGCTCTATTTTGATTACGTATCCTTGATATTGTATACTGGACATTAATACAATCGAGCAAGTCCAGAGGTATTTCACGAGAAGAGTCCTCCACTCCTCTGCTCACAACAGAATATCTTAAGAAACAGTCTTGGAATTTTGGCCTTGGACAACCTTGAATTACACTGCCTACGGTATATCCTAAGCATAGTACACAAAATTGTCTGCTACAATGTCCTACTTGTCAATGACTACTTCAGCTTCAACCTCAATCATACATGAGCAAACAATAGATACAAACTCAAGGTAAACCACTCCAAACTATTTTGCAGACTTCAGCAACAGAGTGGTCAATGCCTGGAATGCTCTGCTCTACCTGACTCCGTTGTTACATCCTCAAACCCTCACAGCTTCAACCTTAAACTGGACTGGGTGTATGATGTGTTTTTTTTTTTTAATCTATGTTTCTCTGTTTTAATCTTTCTATTTTTTAAATGTATTTGTTGTAAGCCGCCCGAAGTCCTTCGGGATTGGGCGGCCTATAAATTCATTAAATCTAATCTAATCTAATCTTTTAAACTGTCTACCATGGACCTCACCCCTTTACTAAGAGGCTGTGCATAAGGGACTGTGCATAAGCGCACCAGCGTGCCTACCGTCCGTGTCCTACTGTCCCCATTTATTTGTACTCATTTCATGTGCTCGTGTCCATGTTTATACTTACACCTGTTATCTCATATACGTTTGACAAACTAAATAAATAAAATAAATAAATGCCATGATTTCAGTGTGTGTGGGGGGGTAGTGTTCAGGAGATACACATAGTAGAAGGAGACCTAACTTAATCTCTGGATGTAAAAATAAAAATTCCAGATTTAGTTGGCACCCATCACCGCTTCCAACCAGTAGGAGGAGAAAAAGGGCCACCTGAATGAGTTATCACGATTTAGTTGAAAGGAAAGAGTTGGCTGTGATGCGTCCTTCAGCTTCTCCAGAAGGCTAAATTCCTACAATTTAAAAATAGGCTTAGAGGGCAAATCCCTGGCTTAAATTAAGCCTCCTCTATACCATTCATTCCCTGCCTTTGCTGCCACTATCCCTTCCTTAGGAACCCACAGCAGCGCAGCTGGTGACTTCAGCAGTTCGGTGGTCTCGCCTCAAGGGGTTGGCCAGATGTTTTCCATCAGAAGCCAAGCAGTCACAGCTGCACTCGATTTGAGACGCTCCCTTTTTACATTTTCTCCCCCCACTCCTCAAACGTTACTGCAGATGGAACATTCCACAAAAGCTGGAGGGGGGACTGGAGGGAAGGGAAACTCAGAGAAGCAGCTTGCCAACTTTGGAAGTGAATGGGATGGGGGGCAGTTTGAAGAAAAATCAGAAGAAAACTGCAGCGGTACTGTAAAATAGAATAGAATTCTTTATTATAATAGAATAGAATAACAGAGTTGGAAGGGACATTGGAGGTCTTCTGGTCTAATCCCCTGTCTAGGCAAGAAAATCTACAACACTTCAGACAAATGGTTAGCCAACATCTTAAAAACTTCCAGTGTTGGAAATTCACAACTTCTGAAGGCAAGTTGTTCCACTGGTTAATTGTTCTAGCTGTCTGGAAATTTCTCCTTAGTTCTAAGTTGCTTCTCTCCTTGATTAGTTTCCCCTCTATTGCTTCTTGTCCTGTCCTCAGCTGCTTTGGAGAATAGCTTGACTCCCTCTTCTTTGTGGCAGCCCCTGAGATATTGGAAGACTGCTATCATGTCTCCCCTAGTCCTTCTTTTCATTACACTAGACATACCCAGTTCCAGCAACTATTCTTCATATGTTTTAGCCTCCTGTCCCCTAATCATCTTCATTACTCTTCTCTGCACTCTTTCTAGAGTCTCCACATCTTTTTTATATCGTGATGACCAAAACTGAGTGCAGTATTAAAAGTGTGGCCTTACCAAGACATTATAAAGTAGTATTAACCATTCACATGATCTTGGTTCAATCTCTCTATTTATGCAGCCTGAAACTGTATTAGCTTTTTTGGCAGCTGCTTCACACTGCTGGCTCATATTTAAATGGTTGTCCACTAGGATTCCAAGATCCTTTTCATAGTTACCACTATTGAGCAAGGTACCATATATACTGTACCTGTGCATTTTGTTTTTCTTGCCTAAATGTAGAATCTTACTTTTTTCACCATTAAATTTCATTGTTAGATAGCTCCCAATGTTCAAGTTTGTCAAGATCCTATATTGGCCAAATGTGATTGGACACACAAGGAATTTGTCTTTGGTGCTTGTGCTCTCAGTGTACATAAAAAGACAAGATACATTCGTCAAGAATCATAAGGTACAAAACTTAATGATAGTCATAGGGTACAAATAAGCAATCAGGAAACAAACAATATTGACATAAATCATAAGGATACAAGCAACAAGTTACAATCCTGCAGTCATAAGTGGAAGGAGATGAGTGATAAGAATTATGAGAAGACTAATAGTAATAGTAATCCTGCCTTAGTGAATGGTTTGACAGTGGTGAGGGAATTATTTGTTTAGCAGAGTTATGTTTTTTTTTTTAGGAAAAAACTTCTTATGTCTAGTTGTCTTGGTGTGCAGTGCTCTATAGCGTCATTTTGAAAGTAGGAGTTGAAACAATTTATGTCCAGGATGTGAGGGGTCTGTAAATATTTTCACAGCCCTTTTTCGACTCATGCAGTATACAGGTCCTCAATGGAAGGAAAGAAAAATGTTTTCTTTAAAAAAAAAACTAAATAAAAACAAAAGAACAAGAAACAGAAACCTCAACAATGCAGGAATTGATCCTTTAAGGAAAAGTGAGTCTGGAATTGATCAGAAAAAGTACAGGAGTAAGAACTCTTTCTTGTTTGTTCCTGCCCAAGCTTTTCCATCTCTTCCACCACTTCTTGCTTTCTCTGCAGCTCACGATCTTGTGACGTAGAGAGATGGACGGAGAAAAGCAATACTGCAATTTAGGAATCCGAGCGTGGGAAAGGGCAGATTTGACATCCCGGGGATGTGGCCTTGAAGGGGAGATTGAAGCAGACGCAGCCCGGGAACACAACATCAAAAAGGGAGGGTGAGGAGATAAACTGATCAAAGCCAAAAAAGATGCTATTTTCTTCCTCTCCAGTTCACCAGGGTGAAAAATATGTTTAAAAAATTCGAAGGATTAAAGTGGACCGTGTTTATGTGAGGAAGAAAGACTGGGATCTAATATTCTGAAGAGGTCATGGTGGTCATATCAGTCACTAGAAGTAGCAGACTGACAGAATAATAGAGTTGGAAAGTACCTTGGAGGTCTTCTAACAGATTAACAGAGTTGGAAGGGACCTTGGAGTTCATCTACTCCAAACCCCTATTCTCAGGTTCTTTGGAGAATAAGCTGATCCCCTCTTCTTTGTGGCATCCTCTGAGATATTGGAAGACTGCTATCATGTCATCCCTGGTCTTTCTTTTCATTACACTAGACACACCCAATTCAACACTACAATTCCCATCATCCTATTCCATCCTAATGAGAAGGAAGGGCTCGCTGGAGAAGAGCCTAA